ATCGGGCTCCTTTCAGAAACTTTTACAGCTTCTTCCAGAGTAAATAAAGGTGGTCCTTAGTTGACATTGACAGCTGAGGTAAACAGTGGACTGACAGCCTCCCACAGGTTGGGAAAAGCTTCTGGTTGCAACCGGATCCAGTCCAAATAGTAGCAGAAACACACCAGCCAGTAGGAGTTATTGTGGGCTACCGTCTAAATGTAATGTTTTTGATCTCTCTTTGTTGACTAAAACATGTTTGTCCTACAGCAGCCATACTAGGTAGGACTATGCACATCCAAAACTATATTTTAGAAAGAGTTATGTTTGGCGTTAATGCATTTCTAAAATTTGAACAATTAATTACATTTAAAAACAATAAATAAAGGGTGTTATAGAGATGTGAGTGTTCCCAGGTGCCTATGGTTGATGAACCTTTGTCATTTTATTTAGTACTAAAATTCATCCACAAACAGGAAAACAGGAAAATTCATAATTTAAAAAAATCTGTATGATAAGTGTCATTGTAGTGTAAATACTTACTGAATACAAATGTTTGAATAATTTTGCCTGTATTAATATTGATTACTACTACTAGCTTATTGAAAATATGCCGGTGTCATCCATGTCTGCGTCATAAGATATGAGACAAAAAATGCATATAGGACATAGAGTCATGTGCTGTGTTTTTTCCCCTTCATGATTTCTTTCTTTTTTATATAAATATATTTGTCACACATGTTTTCAATTTTCAACTTAAATAAATAATAATTAAATAAATAATTTATATAAACACGATTTGGCAGTAAAAAAAAAAAGAAGCTTCTCATAGGTTTAAGATATTCAAGATATTTAAAGCTAAATAACTGGTTGCACCACCGTTGGCAATAAGAACTGAAACCAAGTGTTTGTGACAAGTGGCTATAAATCTTTTACATCAGGAGGAATTTGGCCCTTTTTTGTAGATCTGCTTTAATTCAGCCACGTCTGAGCATGAACAGACTGCTTAAGGTCACGCCAAAGCATCTCAGTCAGATTTAAATCTGGAATTTGATTTGGCTACTCCTTCATTTTCTTTTATAAGTGCGGTTGAGAGTCCGGACACAAACCGTTAGCCAGCCATTCTCCTTCAGGATTTTATGGTAGAGAGCAGAATTTATTGTTCCATCAATGATGGCAAGTCGTCCAAATCCTGAAGCAGCAAGGCAGCCCTAGACCACTACCAAAACCATGTTTTACTGTTAGTATGATGTGTTTTTTATGAAATGCTGTTGGTTTTATGCCAGATTTAACAGGACTCAAACCTTCCAGAAACGTAAACTTTTGTCTCATCAGTCCACAGAATATTTTCCCAAATGTCTTGAGGGACATCGAGATGTTTTTTGGCAATTGTGAGATGAGACTGTGTTCTTTTTGGTCAGCAGTGGATTTTGTCTTGAAACTCTCATGGATTCAGTTTTGCCCAGTCTCTTTCTTATTGATGAGTCATAAACTGTCAAGTCATTGATCACTGATGCAAGTTCTTTAGAGAGTGGTCTGGGTTCTTTTGTGACCTCCTAGATGAGTCATGGATGCACTCTTGGAGTAATTTTGGCAGGCCTGCGAAATTGGCTCTAAACATGGTTTGCTGGAATCCCAAAGCCTTGGAAATATATTTAAAACCTTTTCCAGACTGATAGATGAGCAGTGACTTTGTTTCGCAACTGTTGTTTTAAGATTGTGGCATGATGTGTTACTTTTGCAACCTTTAAGCCTAGTTCACTTTATGCGACAGGTTCTATTTGAGTGAAATCGGTTTGATGATCTGTAACATATAAGTATGTAAAATAATAATAATAATAATAATAATAATTATTATTATTATTATTATTATTATAAAACCTTTTCACTGCATTTTTAACAACTACTTACAATACCAGCTTTTGCCGCTAGGGGTCACTGCTGTGCCGTTTCCCCATCATTAGCTCGACTTGCCCGTCTGCCGGACTGTCTGCCAGACAAGAAATGTTGGCAAAACACCCCTCCTCATCGTGTAGGGAAAAAATGGCGGACCCACAAAAGCGCTAGAAACAAATACACACGTTACAAAGCAAGGTAAACATCCTCGGATACACCAAGCGGCATCTCCGTTAAGGCTCGACTTCAGCGCTGAGCCGAAATGACCGCTAACTAACCTCACAGTGCTGGTACGCTCCCGTTTTGCTAATGCTAATATTTAAAATCAGGTCGGCGAACTAGCGTGCCACCTAGCATGCTAAGCTAGCACGCTAAATCCGTGGGCATGTCTGTGAAGCCGTGCGTAGCATAGCCTGCTGGATGAGATGTCTGCACTGGCTTCATGCATGTTTGACTTTCATTCAGTGGTGTTTGGAGAGGTTTGTGCAGCAGGGGTTGCTGTTAAACTCCTGATTAATACAGTTAACGCTGCTGTCATGTAAATGAGTATTCATGGAAATAAAGCGTAGGAGAGGGCGGGGAAGAGGGTCCCATGTGCTGGCTTTGTGTTTTGAATGAAGCTCAGTAAATTTCTCCATCGTAGCCGGTGATATTTTGTTTCTGAATATAAAGTTAGGAGCTCCATTTATGTGTGAAATAACTGTTACTCCCTGGAGTTTGCAACAGGAGGGATGTGCTGCTGCCGATCACTGATGCCAGTCCTCCTGTCACTTTTTTCAGCCTGAAAAACAGGGAGCCGGTCGCTTTAATTTGGGAGCCGTCCCCCCTTTGGCGGTGGAAAAAGGCGCACTTCTATTGAAAGGGAGCTCATCCGATAAGGAGAAACGCAGCAAAACGGTTATGAAGTTATAAGGTAGGCGCGTTTATAATATGAACAGCCCATATCTGGTTTAAGCGACACTGTGGATGCTCTGCCTTTGCTCTTTTACATTTTCCACGCAAGCTCGGTTAATTTATAACAGCCCTCATAATAAAGCGGGAATATTTTTCCTCAGCAAATTCAAATGTTTGGCAGATGGTTAACATCTGCGTTGCGACTGTTACTAACGTCCTCACATTTCTGGCTAAAACTACTTAAATATCGGCCTTGTTTGATTACTTTGTGGTAATAAATGTCGCAGTGGGGTGTGGGGAAACTGCAGAAGCAGCCACTTGAAGCACTTGTTTATATCCGTTGACCTGCTGACCTGTGTGTTGTGTCTGGTTTGTAGTGTTTGTGAGCCGGGGTTAGGTAACAGGGGTCACTGAGCCTTAAAACATGTTGCTCTTGCCGTAACCTTGGCCTGCTGACAGACGTCGAGACATTCATGAACATTCAAGACACTATGCGTTATATTATGGGCAATAAACCAATTTTCTGTAATCAATACTAGTTGTTTTTTTTAATTAATTATTAAATTATTTGATCAAAGTTGAATGGAAAGTCATTCATAATATTTCTAGATGAGAACAGTGTGAGCTTTTTAAAGAGGAGAAGATTTAAGTATATGATTTGTTTCTGCTGCTTTAACTGAGAGACCAGTGTCATGTTTTTGGGATAAATCTCTTACATAAGCAGTCAATATCTCAACAAAGTAATTCATTATGATCTCACATGATATTCACATGATGTGTAACATGTGAAAAACTCCACAAGTCCACATGCAGTGCACTTTTGATCTTTGTGATGAACCCCTGAGAAGACAAGTAAGCTTTAGTAAAGTCTCCAGTTTTCTGTTGCCTTTGAATAACAATAGTACATTTTATATGTAGTAGCTGAGCCTTTGGCCTCAAGAATATATTAGTGTGATTGGTTCTTTGTCAGTGATGTAAATTAAGAGTTGTGCATTTTGATGGCCTTAATTATCTATGATTTTAGAAATATTCTGCCATCTGTTAGTATAATTAAGTTTTTTGGGGAATGTCTACGCTTAATAGAGTGGTGCACAGTAAAGGCTTCCTTACTGAAGATAAATCCCGGAATTTCCTGTTTATTTCTGGTCATTTGAGAAACAAAATGTTTGTTGCACTTGAGAAAATGAAACTCAATTTAACAGGTTAAAAACAATATATTTTATCACAGTGCTTGTAAACTAGTTCACTTGCCTCAAGGTGTTTCTTTTGTGAGGTAAAGACACTAGAATAACATAGTTCCATTTAAACTGGCTGAAAATTTCAAATCCAACGTGTGTAAATGGATTTATTGAAGTTTGATGCTGCAGCGTTGTATCAAAAGCATCATGTTAGCTGATTTATGCCCAACTGTCTCCAGACTTCA